CAAACAGAAAATTAACCAAATTTAGCGTTTATTGCTAAATAATAATAATAAGTTATCCCAAAGTAAACTATCTCGTCCAACCTTTCTTCTTCAAACTACATCAAAACGCTATTTCTCGCTGTCAACTCCCTTCGTGAGCGAACTTAACAACCTAAGTTAAGTCAAAACACGTATAAGGAACTTATATTTCAATAAGATTAATCCAACAACAAGAAAATTTGTATTATTATTATTATTATTATAAACTTAGCCAGAGAATAAATTCTAAGACTAAAGTCTTAAAGCACTAGCATCTAAGGCTTTCGGCTTTATTAAAAACTCTATCGCACTTGAGATTTGAACCCACGACCATTGAGTTGCTAGTCGAGACTCTTGCCTACTCGGCCACTCAGGCGGCTCTTATTATTATTATAATTTTAGACTAATGAAATAAATTCTTAGACTAAAAAAAGACATTGAGCACTAGCAACGCAGGCTATCGGCTCTAATTTGAATAAATGTACATTAGAAAATGAGCTTAGTAGTATTAAAAAAGTAACCTATTGAATTGATATTCTGTTCTGAAGCTGATTGTAACACGTCCAAAGGGTTAATCGTTCCAAATGCAATACTTCTAGCCAAGCAAAAGTTAAGGCAGTCGCAGAGAATGTGCTTTATAGTGAGAGTTTGTCCACAACTGCAGATTGGGGAGGAAGACTTCTTCAAGAACCATTGGTGAGTTGCATTTGTATGACCAAGGCGAAGTCTCGAAAATGTTTGGATCTTGGTTTTCTCAACATTTGTTGGATATAAAGATGAAGTTAATTGAGGGTTAATGGAAGAGTAGTGTGGATGATAGTATTGTAAATTTTCTTCTGCAATTTTCTCTTTAACTTTTCTTCCAATGTATCTTTGAAGATCTAACTTTTCCTTGACATTATCCATAATTAGAGGAGCAGAAGCAGCATACTTCGCCGCTCGATCACCCTGCTCATTTCCCAACAAACCGATGTGATTTGGTACCCACAACATTTTAATTTTTTCGTCGGGTGTTGTAATTATATTCCTTAATTTGTTGATGGTGCTCCATCTCAAAGTCGAAGGAATCCGAATAGCCTGTAATACAGACAAACTGTCGGTAACAATGACGGTTTTGAGTTTGTTCTTGTGGGCAAGGTTCGCAGTGTGAAGGATAACTCTGGCTTCGGTTGTGAAAGTTGAAGAACTTTCGTGAAATATGTGGTTGAGAAGAACTCGTCCTGTAGCATCAACCACGGCACAAGCAGGAGGCAGACTAGAAGTTTTTGAGCCGTCTGTGTATAAAAGATTCCAACCAGTACTTTCCAATATTGGGGGTTTTCAGCTATTAGATTCCTGCAGACGTAATTTGGAGTATCTTCTTTCTTGTGCATAGACGGCGAAATGTCAAAAGAGCAGTCTTTCAAAATCCATGGCGATTTAACATCAAAAAAGCGGAAATTATTTAAGGGAATATTCAATTCCTTTGCGACATACAAACAATGGTCAGTTGCAGATGGTGACTTTGGAATTTTCTTCGCAATAATAATCTTTCTCACGTCATCTCCGAGAATAGATTTGTTTGAATTAAGAAGCTTGGGGACTATGTTAGCTTTTAACTCATACAGTCTATTTTCTAAAGTTGGGAGACCAGTTTCAATTATAATATTATTTATGGGCGTCGTCCGAAAAGCATAACAACTTGCTCTGACTGCTTGGTGGTAGGCCGGTTTAAGGATGTTGATATTAGATTTGCAGCTATTGCCATAAATTATCAAAGCATAGTCAATCTTGCTTAACACAAGCATTTTGGTAAGATAAGCAATAGCGTTAATATGCGCATGGCTTCTCCAAGCAACCTATTGAATGAAATTCACCCTTGTTAAGATAGAATTTTTTAACCGGAGACAGTGTGCTGTCTAACGATATTTGTTAGAAAAAGGAAGCCCGAGAATATGCAGTGTCGGCATATTTAGTAATCTGTTTTCGACAAATGTGCATTTTTTTAGATTTTTGTATGGAAATTTTAGCTCCTGACGAGCTTGCCCATGCGGAGATCTCTCGTCCAATAGATGCGAGGATGTTGATTGCCTTCGTGCTATCCTTTTCTTTTGTAAAAGGACTTAGACATAGCGCTGATCTTTTGGTGTGAGATGCGGTCTAGACCAGGTGTCCTCCCCTTGAAATTGGAGAGAAAACTTGCAAGATCTAAGGTGGATATGCAATTTTCCAGGGACATGGCACGTCTATCAATAATATTTGAAAGAGAAATTGAAGTCCTTCTATTTTCGATGAAAGCACTGGAGAAGTTGCTGTCAGAGGAGTATTCGCACCACACTTTTCCAAATTAATTAGAAATCTCATCTGTTGATTTTGTTCCACTTTCGTTGATGTATTTCTGTAAATTCTTTTCGAAAAAAGTAATTTAAGTGCGTTTGATTTCCGCAATTCCTTCCTGAATAGAGCATTGGTCTTTTTGTATAATAACAAATGATCACGATCAAGAATTTTCTTAAAGAGGTGCCATAGATTCGTTTTATTTTTCCTCAAAAACGAGAGCGCGTTGTTCCACCAGGGAAGCCTAGCTCGTTTGAAAAAGCTGTTGGACTGAGGAATAGAAAGATGAGCAGCCGTACGAATCGCTTTAGACATAATAGCAGCATCATGGTTGCAGTTCCCGTTAAATGGCTTTGAATTCAGAAATGATTCGGCCTGTTTGGAGTAATTGTTCCAAACCGCTTTACGGACGCAGAAGACTTTTAAAGGTTAAGATCGATTATGATTGGAAAGTGATCACTAAGATGTAGATAATCAGAAATAGACCAGGAAACCAAAGGAATAAGACACAGAGAGCAACATGTTAAATCAATATGAGAAAAAGTGTGATGAGTTGAAAAGTGCGTTGGTTTTCCATCATTTAAAATGCAGAGATTGCTTTGAATGAAGGCCTTTTCTAAAACAGTACCACGAGTGTTGTTCACGGTTGAGCCCCAGATGGTATTCCAGCTGTTAAAGTCGCCGCATATAATTAATGGGGGCGAAAGCACGGAGAATAAATTGTAGAGTTCTTGCTGAGAAAACGATTGCGAAGAAGGGATATAGAGCGAAAGTACTGTAAATTTTATATTTAAGATTATTTGTATCGCTACGGATTGTATGTTTGAGCTAAAATTTATGCGTTTGTGAGTTATACTTGATTTTATAAAAACACCAATTCCTTGTTTGGAATGTGAATTTTGATCAGAATTCGTAAAGTGTCCAGTATATGATTTGGGTGGAATAGGATTAAAAGAGCTTCTACAATGTGTTTCTTGAAGCGATAAAAAGGTTGGATTAAAATAACTTATGAGTGTACGGAGCTCATCAAAAGTGTTAATAAGTCCCTTAATCTTTTATTGTAGAATTTTAAAAACTTTATTTAATTGTAATGACATGAAGGCAGAGTGGAAGGACAGTTGACATGTCAGCGTCTCCGTTGGGAAGGTCGCTATAGGAATTTATCGTAAATGATTTATTCTTACCAGCTGAATAATCTGTACTTAGGTGGTTTGGTAAAGAGGCGTTTGAATACATTTTAGGAAAAATTGATATTAGTGATAGCATAAGAACTACATGCCTTCGGCGATCCGTTTAGCCCTTACTTTGGCGTCGATGGAGTGTGGAGGCTATCAATGGCTAGCGATTTTTATATGTATATAAGGAACGGCCTTTGTAAAAATTAAATAGTTGCACAAAAAGCAGAAGCCAATTAAAAAGCAAAAATTTTTTTTTAAAACGCTGTACATTCTTTATATGTAAATTCATACGTTAATGTATATAAGTATATAATGTTATGAAATTTGCTTTTATAAGATACAGTTCGTAACACTGGATCGCGGATATTTTGTTCAAGAGAAATACACTTCAAAGTTCTTTTACTTACAATTATACTCCTTAACGGTAGGAGTATTCCTTTACAATTATATTCGTTATAAGTAGGATTATTCACAATTTATTTTGACCGTACTCTCAACTTCTATGTTCTTACTCGAATAACTCTCCCTTCCACAAATATTCTATTTATATACATTTTTAAAGCATGTTACTGTACCCAAATTCATAGTTTTCACATTTCATCCCTGACTAATTTTCCCACTAATCGTTTTCATTAGCCTGCAGCTGCATGACGCGCCTGCGAATGTGCACTTGGTCTTTACTTGTTTGCTTTTCCGCGACTCGCTTCCATCGGCCTGCAGTTGCATGACGCCTCGCGAATGTACATTTGATTTTTCCTTCTTTAGAGAATTTGTTACTAGGGAAAATTACTTAGCTTGAATTAACTGGGTTTGCGATTATCGTAACAATAAAATAAAAATAGAAAGACAAAATTCACAGTTCAAGCTTTTTTCCGTTTCAGTTAAAAGTGGTCAGTATTTCACTTCAGTTTAGTTTACCGATGCTATGTTCGGCTTCATTGCCTTTTTTGACGTCGGATGACGTGGCCTATCGTGTAATATTTGTGTTGTTGGAATGCTGCTAGTAAAATGTTCCATCTTATATAATGTTTTTATAATACGTAACGTCTTTGGATGATGTGCATAAATTTTTTAAACTTAAGTTTACAATTCCATCAATTCCATCTTGTTGTTGAACTTTGTTTACAGCTACGTAACCATTAGCATTTGGAAAATTTGTCGCCTACACTGCTGTCAAAGATATAAAGCAACACTTTCAATACTTCCTCCTACTCATTCATTACGTTTTCTTTTTTTTTTACAAATATGTGAGCGCGTAGAATTATATAATAAGACAATTTTACAATTCTCGTGATACACTGTGATTAAGCCTGTATTACCTAAATTGTATAAGAATTGTCGCACAATGGAGTAGACATATTTGTATTTACTTAACAGAGGAAGCGACGAGCCACCTATTAAATACTAAATCTCAAGCAATTTTTGGATTTGAATAGCGAATTCGATAAATATTGAGAAATTGCTTATATGAAAATTTGATGTCTGCAAATAGTCTGTTTTTTCTATTCGTCTTTAACAATTTAAATCAGCTGATATTGTTGACATAAGATGTTCATTAAGTTTTCCCTATTTGTAAATTATAACTTTGACTTGGCAATAGGGCTAATATTGCATTTATCACGTTAAGACAAGTGTGACAAAATTATCTTCGAGAACATTTTTTTTATAAATTTCTTCATAAAAGTTGTATTATTTTATACTGAATGTCTTGGCTACTCGGTAGGAATCGACCTCAGCCACAGCAAGACGCTGTATTAGCGGGAGGTAGCGATGATGAGGATAAAAATGCAGACCCGCAATTATCCAATGCTGAACGGAAGGCCATGGAAGCATATCGCTTCGATTCTTCAGCTTTGGAGAGAGCAGCTGATGCGGCTCGAACTTTAGAACGTTCAAGTATGTTAATATTACATTTTATTTAAAATACACAAAATGAAAAACCGGTGCTGTAGCACACGGCATTGCATAACCAAACAGCAAACTGAATAACATGTGCTTTCACGCCAATTTTAAGGACATGCTCGCGAAGCTTTGGAATTATCGAAATTACAAGAGTTAACGCGGCAACAGGAATATCAAACTAAAATCAAAGAATACGAGGCTCATGTTGAACAAGCAAAAGTGGAACAAAAGCGTATTGACCATGAAGAAAGGAGAAAAACATTAGTCGTGCGTAAAAATTTTAAAATCAAAGCTGTGCAATGTCAATTTTACTTTCAATGTTTTGTTTAAAAAGGAAGAGACTAAGCAACAACAACAACGAGCTCAATATCAAGATCAGTTGTCGCGTAGACGATATGAAGATCAATTGACTCAACAACAACGGGTACAAGAAGAGAATTTACGAAAGTACGTATATCATTAATTATTGTGATAATAGTTAAATTGAAACTCTTTAGGCAAGAGGAAAGCGTAGCTCGCCAAGAAGCTATGCGGCGCCAAACTATCGAACATGAAATTGAAATGAAAGAAAAGAATCGGCTGAAGCTTTTGGAGCATGAAATGCGTGTGAAAGCCAAAGTTGATCGTGAAAATCGTGATATTAATTTAGAGCAGATACGTTTAAAAGCTCAGGAACATCGCACTACAGTCTTGGAAAGCATAAAGTAAGTATTTTTAAGTTATTTCGTATATTTCTTTTACCGTTTTTATTTATAATAACCCAGAACTGCTGGTACAGTTATTGGTGCTGGGTTTGATGCTATGCTTACTGATTGGGATAAAGTCTTGACTGCCGCTGGTGGTCTTTCTCTGTTAGCCTTAGGTGTTTATGCTGCCAGGGGTGCCACCGGTGTGACGTCCCGCTATATCGAATCACGTATTGGCAAACCAACGCTTGTAGGAGAAACTTCGCGTTTTGCTTTGTTAGACGCTCTAAAACATCCTATTAGATATATAAGGAGACTCACTTCTAAGCCTACCGATGCTTTGCAAGGTGTCGTCCTAAACCCAAAATTAGAGGAACGTTTGCGTGATGTTGCCATTGCTACCAAAAATACACGCATTAATCGTGGTCTCTACCGTAATATACTAATGCACGGTCCTCCTGGTACAGGCAAGACGATGTTTGCTAAAAAATTGGCTGAACACTCTGGCATGGACTATGCCATAATGACGGGTGGTGATGTGGCACCAATGGGCAAAGAAGCTGTTACCGGTATTCATAAAGTGTTCGATTGGTCACAGACTAGCCGTCGTGGCCTTTTATTATTTGTTGACGAAGCTGATGCTTTTCTAAGAAAACGTTCTTCGGAACATATTTCAGAAGACTTAAGAGCTGCTCTAAATGCTTTCTTATACCGAACCTCTGAACAAAATGAGAAATTTATGTTAGTGTTGGCCTCAAATACACCGGAACAATTCGATTATGCCATTAATGATCGTCTAGATGAAATGGTAGAATTTACTTTGCCCGGCCTGGAGGAACGTGAACGCCTATTGCGTTTATACTTCGACAAGTACGTTTTAAAGCCAGCTGCAGAGGGAGCTAGGTAATTAATAACAAATACCATTTCCTGCAATTCGCGCTAAAACTTTCTTGTTTTGTCTTGTTTCTTGTAAAGGCGTTTTAAATTGGAAACATTTGATTATGGAGCGACTTGCTCCAAAATGGCCAACGTTTGTGAGGGCATGTCCGGACGGGAAATCTCTAAATTGGGTGTATCCTGGCAAGCAGCCGTCTATGCTTCCGAAAACGGAGTTTTAACAGAAAAAATGGTACTAGATCGAGCCCGTTCGGCAGCTGCTCAACACAAGCAAAAGGTGAACTTTTCAATTCTTGTCAAATCAATTGTTGTTAAATAGGAATTCATAATATCATGTTCATAAATTTATAAATTTCACTGTCTTCGTTATAGATGGCCTGGTTATCTGACCATGAGCGTTTGGATCACAAATCCGTAACTGGAGGCAAAATTGAATAATTCTACCTTTTAAACTGCCTTCATTCCACATCAAACAATTAGACTTAATTTAAGGACAAATTTACATACAGAACCCAGCAAAGTTTTCTTTTTATGTTCATCCGAACGAAAAAAAAAAGAGTACAACATATGTTACCTGCCATCAGTAGTGCAGATTGTGATGGGGTTAAATGTAATTTAAGTTTTTTATTGGTTTTTAAATTACCTAACCTTATCAAACTCTTGCTGAATGTATAATACAAGTAAGTTTCTAAATTTTGTATAAAGGAAACATTTATAAGAAAACTTTGTTCAGGTTTCCAGTGTACATTATCTGTAAAAATGCATTTCAAGTAATGAATGTGTCTCGGCATCAGGAGAAATTTATATTAAACTTCTCGCTTAACATGTTTCTCGGAAATGTTCATTTTTGTTTTTTATTAATTTGTTTATATACGTTTCCATAATCTTTGGGTTTATATATTGAATTAACAATTGGACAAAATTTTGTTTTCAACTATATAGAAAAAAAGTTTAAATAAAAATTGAAAAAGTTATTTAACGAATTGGATTTAATTTTTTTAATTGAAAAGCAGACGTCAGAAAATTATTTGATTTGATAAAAAGATGTTTCACTTAAAAAATATCACAGGACTTTAGAGTTGTCTTATTCCACTTCGAAAGAAACCAGTAAAATAAACGATTGTGCGTGCAGGCAACAAAATTAATAAATTAGAACCACAGAGTTTTATGATTTCATTTGATCTGAAGATTTCCTGTGAAAACAAAATGAAGCATTAATTATTCAATAATTAATTAAAAAACAAGAAATAAATTTTCTGCACAAAACACCGAATTTATATTATATATTGTATTATATGTATTTGTATGTGAATATAAAATGAATTCTGTTCTAAATTAGATAATTATCATCATCAGTCCAGTTTACGTTGCGAAATTTATTATAATTTCTTTTGCCAGCACTTCTCGTCGGCGTACTAATCATGGAAAAGTGCGAATTGAAATTAAAGTTTCATATTCACATCACCAAAGCGTAGGTGGTTGTTGCATTAATTTTAGTTATTTTCTCACTTGAAAAAGGCATTTATTGAGAATAATTATATAAACCACAATATTTTCTACTATTTTCAACAACGTTTTACCATATTTTTGGCAATGAAGATCAAAAGTGCAATTTTGAGCCATAATTAGCGTCGGCATATGCTGAATATTTCAATAATACTAACTGGAAAAATGTTATTTTAGGTAGACCGAGCTCAAAACCATCGAGGTCAAAACCATCGAATTCAACCGTTACGTACACTGGTATTTCCAATTTCTTTGTCATTATTACTTGTAGAAGTCGCTGATCAAAATTTTTGCAAACACCTAATAGGTTGTGTTTCAGTCAATTTTACGTAGCTATATACAAAATTTACAAAAGGTCTGGTATTTATAAAAAATGCTTTTGTGTGTAGTCGCATTAAAATACTTATATACCCCTCCTAGTTTATTAAAATAAAATCTTATTTAAAGAATTAGTTTTGTATGTAATTTGTTTAATTATAAAGACATCGCTTTCATTCCGAGAAATTTTGAATCCGACATGCTCTATAAATTGCCCTTTTAAACACAGACAACGAATTTCCAGAAATCCTTTTACCTAGAGATGTCACCACCTAAAGTACACGCAACCACCTAATATCACCAAAGCGCGTATTACAACCGCGTATATTGGGTTCGCAGTCAACGAAAAGTGGTGAAGTAGTTTCGTGATGAAATTACCCAAAAAAGTGGAAAAAATTAACGATTTTGTATCCGTCAGTAGTGAACAGATAATTAGGTAGAAGCAGAGGTTTCACTGGGGTTTTCTTTGATAGAAGTGGTAGTGATCAATGTGCGTGTGAATTTGAGTGGGCGGCAAAAAATTACAAATCTGAAGTGCATAAATTAACATCTGTTAAAAACATAAAAAATTTTACTAGGGATGACGTTTAGGGATTGTTTTGGACAAAGGAAATACTTGAACATATTATAACTGAGATTAATCGATTTAGCGAAAAGAATCGAAGTTTCAAAGAAGAAAAATTTTGGTGATAAGAAAAAAAAAAACTTCCATTTTTCCGTGTGATCCAAATGTGTTAAGTAATTATAAATCAAAGTGTTTAATATGTCAATTCGCTCATTGACTTATTAATAGCATGTTTTTTATGCAATCTAGACTAATAGAAGATTTGCGATTTCAGATTTCCAGCTAAAGCATGAAAGCATTTTACGAATTTACTGAAAAAATGTATTATCAAATTGAAAATCTTCTACAATTTGGCTGAGAGTTTAAGTAAAAAATATATTAATATACTTTTCATAATTATAAGTCCAAATACTAAAATGCGTTTCATTTATTTACATATTTTCCATTAAGAAACCAAATAATTTTTATCCGATTTATGCAAGAATTTTCAACATGGATAATGACCTCACCTGTGATTAGTTTTCATGCATTTTTAAGACATGTGTGATAGGAATGTAAGGATTTGTGTCTTTTGCTTTTTTAGTGTATTTGTATGCACTTTACAGTTCATCTCTTGCATTTAGGGGTAGTTCGACTTGTTCCACGCTACCCATGTGTATGTGTATGTATTCGGGAGCATCTTCGTGTATAATATTTTGACTATTATTTTTTTTAGTTATATATACGACTGTATCTGAAGAGCTGTTTACCGAAGGGTTTATTAAGCCTTCCGGTATGGCCGATTGATCTGGAGTTGTCAATGAAATTTTTGAACCGAAAACAATTCTGCAAGGTGTTGTTAAATATGCAAAAAAGAAGTATTAACCTTTAATTGATTAATATGTTATGTTTGTGAGAATACCTTTTAATATATCTACTTATGATAACTACTTATGAATAATGTTGATTGCACCCATGTGATGTGAACATATTAATTATGAAATATCTATGTATATATATATGTATCTATATATACGTATATGTATGCACAATTTTGATTTTTTCATACTTTTTTGCTAATTCACGTTGTAAATTTTTTATTGACGCTTTCGGCTTGTTCCTCGCAATTGTTGCGGCGCTCTAGGGAGTTTTTTTTGGATTTACAAAATAAAAATTTTACATTTATTTACAGTTGACAGAGTATTAAGGGATAAGCGTAAAGGTTTTTCATTTACTTTATATTTGCAAAATGGAAGCATAAGAAATGTTACCTTTCTCTAGTTTGCATATCGGCCTTAACATCCAGATTTCGCGGACTTCGGAAATCACATTCCAATGAAAATGCCGAATCACCCGGTGTTATAAGTTCTGGATCATTTTGTATGACCACAACATTAGTGTACAATTCACCTTCTTTAATTGTTTGGCATTGATTCAATTGGAACGTCATCTCAATCGAACGAACACTTGACGAGCTCGGTTTGACAAAACATGGCGCTGTTTGTTTATAAAAACTTCCTCTTGTATACATGACACCGGTGAATGGCTTTTCAGTTTCTAACATGATATGCATCGAGTTGGATCCGCATTTCAAATTAACCTTTTGTATCCCTTGATCGGACCCTTCAATTTTGAATGTATCTGTAAGATGTTGCTCCCAAATTTCTGAAAAATAATCTTATTTTAAACCAATGGAAGAAATTTATACACAAAGTTGAAGCAATTCTTCTAAATCGATCGAGGACACAATACATTCTCAATAAAATAATTATGGATCCCTACTGTAAAAATATCTGGGCTTGCTTAGATTATCTTGGATTGGCTCGTGTGTACCCGGAGTATGTCCTACTTTCTAAGCTTCACTCATAGTCGCTAAGTCCACATTCTTCAGAAATTCAGACAGTACATCGAGACTTTTTTTTACCTTTGAATTTTGTGTGAAAACCAACTTTTAAGAATGAGTGCATTTTTCAAAAAAAAATTACCGTCGATCTGTGAACTTCTTACCTAGCCTGCGCAGTTTTTCGTTTAGGTTTTTTAAAATTCTTTTGCAATACCGGCAATAATGAAGAACAAGAGCAAAACGTTTTTAGACTTATGCATACACGCGTAAGTAACTTTGGGTACTTGAAACCGGTTAACACAGAAGTTTTATTATTTTGTTTATAACTTCTTTTTTTGACTTGTTTTATACGTACGATAACCATAATAATACCTTTCTGAGTCTCTTGTTGTTGCTGATCATCATTCTTATTTCTGCTGGTTGCTGTTGCAGTGTAAATCATTAACACAAAATTAATGAAAAAAATTACTAAATATTTTCTTGACTTTATGAACATTTTCTTTTCAAGGACTTATTTAAGTAGATTTGAAAACGTTTGTTATATAATTATATTTTTAAAATTTCTTTTTACAACTTTTCTCCAAACACCGCGCAATTATTAACATTTATGTCCGTACGGTTTCAATACCAAACATACTACTAATGAAAACTTCCTGTGAGTTCGACGAATTATATAAAAAACCCTGCACTGTATTAGTTGAAGACACAAGAAAGAAAAGAGTTTTTTAACTGAAAATAAAAAGAGAAGAAAATAGACGTAACAATTTTTTCTTTATTGCTATTTCCAACATATAAAAAAAAAAACTAAATAAACTAAATGAGAGAAATATTCAGTGTTAGTGTTTATTAGCGTATATTAAACTTATTATATGGATTGTTTGTCGAAACGCTAAAGCTGGTTTTTTCTTTCATTTATCGCGATAATTTTAATGCTACTGGCCTGTTGTAAATAATGTATAGACAAATCTATCTACTAAATGTATATCTTATGTTACCTATATTACCTCCATTAATATGCGCCTGTACAGAGACACTTGTCCGGCCACCTGGCAGAATTTGTGCAATTAGTTTTATTTTTCTTTTATAATAACGAGGAGGATTGGGATAAAGGGATTTTATTATAGTATGTATAATATTCAGTTATGCATCTGCAAATTCAACATCCATCCGTCTCCCTTTCTCTCTATATGAGTAATGGTGGTTGTATACAAAGATCAAAATGAAGTCAGTTTTAATCTTATCTACACAACTTGAACCTTCCTACACATGATCCTTGCAATGACATAAGGCGTCTGTCAAAGTAGGACATAATTATCAAAAATAGGACATAATTGCTTCCAAGAATGCTTATTTTCTGAGAATCATTTTGCTGCATCAACCATTAGATCAATATGTTCTCTTTACTCCTAACAATTTTCTTGCTTTGAATTTTTCATTTTTGTCGAAAGAAGTAAGACATAAGAGCAAAATAGCAAAACGGAAATATTTAGAAGTTGTTTTCCGCATCAATATTATTGCTTCCGGCGCTATTGCATTTACTTTCGAACTATGCATTACTTGAATTTTTGCTTTTTCTCTCGTTTCTCAATATTTGTTAAATGAGTACTATAGCCTGAGTGCATCGACGTATGTCTTGTAATTTAACCGATTACATATTCGATTCACAAAAAGGTTGTGACGTATTTTTGGCTGTTTACTTTTAAGGCGATTTTCAATATTCTGGCATCTTATTGCGTATAATGAGAATTACGCACGCATCTCTTACATATTAAAAACCGGTGAGATGTAAAGCACTACGAATTCGTTACGTACCAAGCATATTACACAATAATTCCTATTTCTTGTTGATCTCTTCGTATGAACGGTTTTTTGCTTGTTTTTGCATTTTATTCAAGTTGGTACAAGTCGGAACGAATAATTTGCTTTCTTATTGTAAATTAAAAGTAATTAATTACAAATTAAATAAATGCTAAAATAATTTTTTATGAATAGCATAGTCTTATATAAATATGAAAAACCTTACAAATATGCACATGCATATGCATAGAAACTATATATATACGTGTAGGAATACAAGATGATCGCTTTTTTTAGTTTTGTAAGTTTCCCATAGCTGACCGGTAACGCTCAAGTTCGACGCCTTCCCAATTGAACGATTTAGTAAAAATCCTGTAAACATATAAATTAATCTATCATTTTTATACATACAAATTAGCAAAGTATACAAAGGAAAAAGGCAACTAACTTGGACGACAAATATAAAATAAAAGCATGTTCAGTCACAGATTATATAATTATTCCGATACATGTTTACATGGTACCCGACTTGCACAGTTTCTGTTGCAATGGTACACTCTCTCTTCCTAATGCAGATTTATTAAACATATGTAACATAATTGTACTTACGTATCTTTGAGCAGTTGTAACACTTCCTGCTCTTTTAAGTTGAGACCACAATAAAATGCATTCAAATTCATATCTAATGCATGCCGCGTTTTCATGCCGGTTAGAAAAGTCGTTGCACCACTTAGTTGCAAAAAATGATACATAGCCAGTTTTCCCAATTCGATACCTGCCTCTTTACAAATTTTTGCTGCCTTCCGGCATAATTGTTTTTGTTCATCGCTAGCCGGATGCCATGCTTGCGGGCCACAATTCGTTAAGAGTCCCATAGCATGTCCGCTAGCGCATACAATGCCCAAGTTTTCATTTTGGAAAAACTTGATATAACTTTCCAACGAATTATCCGTAAGTGTGAAACGAGCGTAAGACAGAACCACCTATAATGGCAGCAGTATAGACTTACAAAGTAACAATTGACTTTTACATAGTATGCATTAGATTTATTTTTTTGTTTGTAACATATACAAACACTTATCAGAGTCTCCTTGAATTACTTATACTCTTGATTAGTAGGAGATTCATAGGCAATATAATCAAATTCCTTTACTCCTTGCCCTCTGCCTGTTGTTGAAGTTCTCACGATCGCAAAAATAAGAAGAATAGCTTAAAGAATAGGCGCAGTTTACGTTTGAAAATTAATCTGATCCGAGCGCAATAAGCAATAATCTTTAACCTATAATGCATGTCAGCTATTGACCGGAGCATTAGTGGAAATATTTCTTAACACAACCCTAAAGTTCTATTTGATATTTTTTAAATTCACTTTGAGAACTTCGTGAAAGCGTGTAACGCCTATTGGCGTAAATTTCAAATCGATCTTTTAACAACTTAAAAGAACATTGCGGAAATGATCCTGACAGGGCAACAGACATATTTGTAATTTGTAATTCGAGCAATACTTTGTAATTTGAGCAATGCTTCGAAATTCTAGCGTATTGATTTCAAATGGTCAATATTCAAAGCTCGCCTAAAAGTGAGTATAATTCTATTATCGGGTACATAAAGCTTACATCAAATTTCCCGGGAGCATGTAAAATGCACTCCTTAAGGTGATGTAAGGAATAACCTGTAACACCAATAAATCTTGCCTTCCCTTCCTTAATTAAGTTCTCCAATTCCGGTAGACATTCATTGATCACTACACCGACATTATTTGCGAATTCAATATCATGAATCTTGAAAATATAATTTTATGAATAAATTTTCTATCAATTGCTTCATTCATTTTTACCTGAATAACATCTACGTACTCCAAGCCCAATAATTCTAAGCTCCTTTCCACACTTTCCCTAGCTCTTTTAGCTGAAAAATCAAACATATTCTTATAGTCGGTACAGTAGCGACCCACTTTTGTTGCTATATAATAAGCAGAACGTGGTACGTTCCTTAGAACCTGCCCCAAAAATCCTTCCGACTGTCCTTGACCGTACCAAGGGGCTGTGTCGATATAATTTACACCCGATTTTAAAGCTTGAACCAGAGTTTCTTCAGCTTCCTTTGCGTCAAACTCACTGTCGTATATGCAGACAAAAAAAATAACCAAAATAACTCATAAACTTGGTAATCAAATTTGAAGCCGAAGTCGAACCCGTAAATAGAAGAGAATACTGCAGCACCGAATGAAAATTTCGATATTTCTAAGCCAGTTTTGCCCAAGGTCAAATATGGCATGGAATTGCACGAATCCTTTGCATGGAAGCCCTGTGTAAAAGTAGCCGGCGAAGAAGTGCAAGACATTTTAATTTATTTTAGTAAACTGCGATAATTCTTCAGCGTACTGTGGAACTGCCAAGTCAACATTTATTAATATGCCGCCTATTTTGTTTATATCCTTCTTTTTTTTTTTTTTTTTTTGGTATGTTGAAAGGAGATGAACTAAGCCAATAGATTTGTGGCTTATATGTCCAAATAATAAACTGTAGTAATTTTTAGTCACGATTATGTATAAAACGTAACAAAAAAATAAGAGCGGCCGTAATAACTGGAGTGAGCATGCTAAATGTAATTGTGTGTGTGTGTGTGTGTGTGCAATTGTGCTTGTTGAGTTCTTGAAAGTTAAACAGTGTTGCAAACTTTGGCTGAAAACGAAAAGCAATGCTATGGTAATAGAAGATTATTAAACGCAAAAACGAAAGAAAAAAAGGAAAGAAGAGGAAAAAAAAAATTTTTAAAAGGATAAATTAGCTTTTCTAATAAAGCAAGTTAGTTCCCCGAGATGACGTACATTTTTTGCTGCAAAGAGATGGAGGAGACAGCCATATAATTTGAAGAAGCTAAAGGAATTTCTAATGCCATCAAGCCTGTGACATCTGAAGATTAGATGCTCAGCAGACTCAACAACATTGCAAACTTCACAAACATCACATAGTATAGCACGAATCATTTTTAAATAAACTTTGTCATAAGTATGACCACTCATGAGTCTATAAAGAATTTTGATTTCCCAGGAATTAAAAGAAGATACAGAAAAGGATTTAAATTGAAATATGGGATTTAATTTATAGAAAAGACGATTGTATTTAACGATTTCTTTAAATTCATCGTTTAGCTATTGAAGGATGTGGTTGAGAATTGCCCGAATTGCTTCATTGGGAGTATATTTGATGGACAAAATTGTCCCATCAACACAAGCTCTCCCTGCATGAAAGTCGGCTTTTACATTTAAAAAAAAGCCGCAGTGGCCTGGTACCCAAACAAGGTGACAACCATCCACTTGAGATTCGTGCAACGTCTTGTGAATGTCAAACACATATTGATTTTCTGCATCTCTTTTATTTATTAGAAGTAGAGCTGACCTGCTGTCGGAAAAAATAACAAAACGTTTGATACCATCGGAGATAGCAACCATGATAGCATGTGGAATGGCGAGCAACTCAATAAAAGTAGAGGAAAGTTCCTCTTCCACTTTGACTCGAAGTATTGTTTCAGATAGATGTTTCACGACGGAGAAGCCAGATAAATTATGTCCGACGGAACCGTCAGTGGCATATATATCATATCCGTTGTTGTAATAAAAAATGAGCTTTTCTTGGCATAACAACTTTAGACAAGAGAAGTTGACATTTTGTTTTGAGGTAGAGATCGGTTCGAGAATGTTCATGAAGACTTTGCATTTCCTGGTAATGAAATTCAAGGGGGGAATTGAATCTAACTTATCAAAAATATGACGAAGTTTTTGATAGCAAAAAGTATAGCTGCAAGTGCCAGTATCACTGAGAGATATAATTTCCTGAAAAAAGGAAGGATTTATCATCTTGACTTTAATTAACTCCTTGGCATTGCAAAAAAGGGTTCTTTCGGAAACTGGCCATTCACCAGATATAACATTGAGAATATGTTGAGGAGTTGAGGGGGTCAGTCCAGTACAACGCTTCAACATTCGGTTTTCAAATGCTTGTATACGTTTCTCAATATATTTTGGGAAATTGCAACATGTGGAATGTCCAAATTCAATTTTGTACCTGACTAGAGATTTGTAAACGGTCAAAGCATTTTTGGGAGGCAAGCCTGCCTGATTGTTTGTCATGAGTTTGATGATGTTGCATCCAGACTGATAATCTTTGAACGCCTTTTCATAATGCCCACGAAGGGTTAAGCTGTCATTTAAAATTCTCCCAAGAAATCGAAGAGATTTTACCTGATTAACTTGGATACCTTTGACAAGAAGTCTGATTTCACGTTTAGAACCTTTGGCAAAATAAATAGTGTTTGTCTTGCCGGGGTTAAAATATAAATTAAGATCAGCGCATGCATCGAAAAACAAGTTAGCTTTCATCGAGAGGTTATTGACAGCTGCTGGAAAAGATGAGTCCGCAGATACGATTAGAAAATCGTCTGCATATTGAAAAATGTGAGTTTTGTCATCTTGAAGATCATGAAAAGAAGCTGCGTATAAATTGAAGAGTATGGGGCTTAAACAACTGACTTGTGGGATACCACCGCATATTTCAACTTTTTCGGTACCCATCACCAACACACGCTTGGATAAAAAATTAAGTCTCCACAGCCGCATTTGAAGAGGAATCGAAAAGTTTAGGAGGATTCTACCGAGCTTAATCAAGTTGACACAGTCATAGGCTTTGCTGATGTCCAGGGAGAGCATGACAACCATTTTCCCTGCTTTTTTTAAGCTGGCTATGAGAAAACACAGTTCATTAACGCACATATTCGTAGATTTGAGCTTTTGATAGGCGTAAGACCGACCTGGAATAATGTTCTTAGTTTTCAGGAAAGCAGTTAGATTCTCCTTAACCATGAGGTTGATGGTCTTTATGAATACATATATTAGTGAAATTGGTCTGAAGCTACTTAAATCATTTAAGTCTTTACCTGGCTTGGAAATGGGAACTATTTTGATGCAACGCAAATCAGAGGGTATAAAGTTGGTGGACCAGCAGTTGTTAATTGCATGCAAAAGCATGCTAAAGCTTCCTCCAGACCGTGCTCTGAGCATGTCATACTTGACTCCATCACCGGTAGAATTATCTAATAAAACAAATAAAGATAAAAAATGCGTAAAGCGAAAACGTTTTACTCTAGACACAAATTACCTGCAAAATTAATCACACGAAGACGAGTTAAATAGCTAACAGAATAACTGAAAAGCCAATAGACTGGAATCAATTCAAGCTGTTTTATTCAAGGAAAAATGAACTTCCGAAGCAGAGAAGAAAATAATAAGAATAGGATTAAAATGTATGTCTAGAAAAGGTAACCGTCAACATCAATTGATTGAAAAGTGGTAGCCATCAATAAAATGTGTATAAAGGAAAAAAAAACTAAAGAAAGAACAGATCTACGACTATTAATTATAATTATTAATTATTTGGTGTTAGTTGGTCTAATCACGTTTATAATTCTATAATTCCAAAAATTTCGATGTCTAACATGCCCGTGCAACTGTTGAAGCAACATGTCAGGAAATAGTTTGGAATCATTTGAAAAGAGCAGACTACGAAAAGAAGCTCGAAACCGCGGAAAAGACGGAAACTTTTTACTATGACGTAATACGTATAATAATCCCTACGCTAATGAATGCACTACTAGTGTAGTGAATGCATTCGGCAACAGGCAAGTTACTAAAATTTTTTTTTAGTTAGTGTTAATTTATTTTTTTTCTCTTTAGTTATAATTCTCATCTCGCTAACCGTATTAGATTATTATAGAATGCTACACCAGGGCAGAGTTTATATCGAAAGATGTGGAGGGATAACTTTCAATATGAAACGATGTTTAAATTATAAAACGGTATTAAAGTCCAAAAACGATAGTATAGTTGAATATCTTGGTATTGCGATGATTGTAATAATTGGAAATGTTTAATTATGTTCGTATACAATCCAATTTTCCGTGTTTTCCATTTTTTGTAGTAATATAATGATCTTTGGTGAGTTTAATGTTGATTATTACTTGAGTGGATCGCGATGTTGAAGTTTGTTAACTCCTGGCATACACTTCGAAGCAATAGATATTGTTTGTATTCCTTAGCCGCATATTACGACAATTTTCTCGAAAAACTGTGTTGCTTATTCTATTATTCGTTCTATTCAATATCATGTTCCGATGAAGCATTGTGAAGTTACTTGCTTTGAGCTATCAGATTCCGTAATCTGGCATTTAAAAAATAGGAAAGTTGTTGTAATGGGTTAAACTGCAAATTTTTCTGGAACTATAGTGTAATTTGTTTAATATACCTACTAAATTTTAGTATAATTGTTCTTAGTAAGACAATTTTAGTAGCTCAGTTGATATTTTGTTATTGGCGTAAGCACTTACATTTCTTATTATTAGAACAAGCATTTATTTTTGACCTGGTTTTAATTCTGTATTAGGGTAAGCTTTACTTATAATTATATTTTAGTAGATAAGTTACATCTTTTATTCAAAAAGAATTCAATATGCAAAATAATAATTACATTCATTATTCAATATAATAATTAGATCCAATGAAAGCAAGTTGCTCCTCAATGAATTCTACTATGGAATTTCTATCAGATCAACAAAACCAGGTACATCGCGAGAGCTCGCAAAACCTAATTGCGCGAAGCACGAATGTGTTCTATTATAAAAATTAAATGATAAAATTCCGAGATTTATTATTATCTTTTCCTTTTAGCTATAACATGAACATTCTATACCACCAACGTCTTCTACCATAAGCGATACGATCACTCTCTTATATCCTGTGTGTTCATAACTTATTCATAACATTAAGAATAGGGTGCATAATATTACTCAGCATATGAAATTGTTCTACTACAGTAAGAAGATGGATGTCGATGTTCAAGAACCGTCAGGAATTGGGTTTAGAGAGAGTCCGCCAAAGTGTAAAATAAGCCCCAAATGAGTAAATAATCACATCTTGAGATTTAGTTTAACAGTGTGTTTGTAACCGTTCATTGCTCGTAAATCGAGAAATATCGACGTAGCGAACTATTTCAATTTACGGCTTTCACCAGAGATGGAGTATGACAGGCTATGCACAGCATTAAATCAAATATTGGCGGTTACGATAATATCAGTATTAAGCTTGCAAAGTCAGTGCTCCCCAGCGTTGATTTGCATCCTAGACCCTGTAATACATACTTGTACATTTTTCGATGGCTAGAGAATTTCGATGATAACTGCCATTGGAAAAAACATCTTCTGCTTTTTCTAAAGACTTTCGTTCAATCAGCATTCTTCCTGCTTTATCGAAAATGTTCGAACAGGACATGATTGATCAGATAGTACTACATTTGATTGCGAAGGAATTACTTTGTGCTACCCAGTCAGTTGCTTCTGATTCCCATTCTTTACCACCTGCAAAGACGGTAGGCAAAGAGATTGAGTTTGTTAGTGCTTGCCACTCGACTTTAAGCTTGGCGAAGACGTCGCGATTGTGTT